CTGTCTGGTTGCTCTCCTCCCCACTACCTCYAATACCAATTGGGGACAGCGGAGAAGGAAAACAAGCTGCGGGTGCTGCTTGTTGTCTGAACCAGGCGGGCGCTCAGGCGACAGGCTTGCAATTAGCCCGGTTGCCACCCCTCTGTTGGCGAGCGCCGCTTCCGCAGGTGGGAGTGCAACAACCCCGAGACGGCACAAACATATTTATGTTTACTCCGCACGGCAATGGATTCACATTGCTGCATCCCCGACACAAACACAAACAGGAGCAAACCATGGGAGCRTTCCTCAGGGAAAGGATGTTAGTCCCATTCCTTTTGGTAGATAAAAAAAAGTTCAGGCTCAAAGAAACAGGCCTGAGAGACACACTGCCTATGCACATATGCTCCTTCCTTCCCTCTAATGGCATCTCGACTAACTCTTCTTGCAACATTCATGAAGCATGACCATTCTTTTTTCATATATTGACATCTGATTTTAGCCCTCCTCTTAGGGATTTTTTCCCTCATTCTCTTCAGATACAGACAGATTTGCAAGTCTTAAACTTTCAACAGAGAACACACACAGATCTGGTAACTCCAGAACATGGCAGGGGCTCCATTTGCCTTCTGGTTTCTTCCAGGAATTTGAGACTCTCAGGCGTGAGTGAGAAGCGACGCAGAAACCCTCCACGCGTGCAGGAAGCCTCACCTCTGCTGCCATGAAAGCCAGCGTGTGCATCCCATGGGTGTAGCCGATAACCCCGCAGACGACTGCTAACCCACAGCAGGACAGGAGCATGGCCACGAGCAGGCTCAGGACTCTGAGGTGGCTGCTCATGGGCGTGGTAGGAGAAAAGGAAAGCTGTAACATAAATACATAACAGGTTTAAGGAAGTGCTTCAACTTTGACCTCTATGTTCATCCTCACCTGACAAGTCCTCACTCCAGAAATTCTKTTGCTTTCCAGAATAAAACCAATGGCACAACCTCAACTACCTAACGTAGCAAGAAATGATGCTAAAAGAAACCTAAAAGCACACATCACCCCAAAGGTTTCTTCATCTCACTATCATTTCCATTCACAGGGGGTTTTAAAGCCAGGTGGGATCCTTAGTACTATTTAACCTAATTTTCAGATCACCTGGGCAAGAAACCAGATTCCCACCTAGCAGTTTCTGCATCAAACCCACAGCACCTGCTTAGGATAAGAATGCCTTTTATAAAGACATCTAGCCTTGATTTAAAGACTACAAGGAATGAGATTAAGAATTCTGACAATTTTTTCCCCTTTCAGGTGATCTGAATTTGTCCAGCCACTAGTTCCTCCACTGTCCTTCAAGAAAAAAGAAGCATCTCCTTCAAAAAGCTCACTAGCAGCTAGGCACAGCTGGGCAGCCTGAGGAAAACAGTTGTCTCATTCAACAGCACACAACTTCTTAWTTGTCTAAACTACCTTTATGATGGTCTAGACCTAAACTGTCTAAATCAAATGACACAGGAGGCAAAATATCCGGGCGGGAAGAGGACCAACGGGACAAAGAAAGAAGAAGCTGCCCCAGGTTTTAGTCTGACCCGATTCACTCCCATRTTTTGTTGATAAATTCACTTTCTTCCCATCAGTATTTGATTGCATTCCAGCTAACCGAGCTTGCAGGGCAAATCACACATGTGCCATTTTGTCCAATAATACGGTAAAAACTTTAAAGGTAGAAGGAAAGTCCCTTTCCAAGCTTCAAGAACACAAAATAAAGGTTTCTGCAGAGGCTTTGCTCTTTTACAGCTTTCTGAGGACCGCTAAAACACTAACAGATGACCACTTTGTTCCTTTCTGTCTCAATTTTCCTTATAATAACAAATCTAATCGCAATTTCAGGATTCAACTACTTAAGAACTCATAAAACTTACTGGATAGAAATAAATATGTATATACACAAAGTCCTAAACTACCAAAAAGAAAATCAGGGGCTCAGTTTAAATGTTTACTCCAGGACAGAGGAGATGAGGAAAAGACATGTACGCTACAGGCGTTTAAAGGGCAAAACTTATTCAAATTCCAGTTCCTTTCTCCTTGCTTAGCTTTCAACTTCTCCATCTCCCTCTGTCGACTTTATTCTTGGTATTAACACAAACTGGGATACAGCTTATGTGAAAAAGCAAAATTGCATGGCACATACATGGGCCAATTTATTAAAGTATTATTACGGGTGGAGGAAAAGGCCTAAAAAACTGTTTGCAACTCATCAYGAGTCGCTGCTCGAGTCAGAAACAGAATCAAAGTGCCCCAAAAGATAGCCCTTAAGCCAAGCTTACGTATTCAAAGCGATCCTTGCAGAGCTGAACCATGAGATGAAGAAACACGAGCCCAGAGAACCAGAGGCACCACATGACCACTTCCTCCACGGTCTGAACATTCAGCACGCCAAAAATGAAGATGAATTTGTAGAAAATGAAATTCCAGAATTTATCCTTGAGATGCTGAAAAGGAAGACAACGAGTTTACTGCAGTGAARGTACTGACAACTCACACGCACAAAACTGCTCCTGTTCGCAGCAGATAACACGCACGGGAGAGAGGGAGGGAAGGGAAAACAGCAAAATAAATAAATAAATATCTTTAAAAAAGGAAACAGCAATCTCTGCTACATTAATCAGATTAATAACCATGCTTAGACACACCAAATGCACACCTAACTTATCACCTTGCTTCYATAAAGATGTCAAGATGTCCACACTAATTCCCTTTGCCATCAAGAGCAGATGATTAAGACAACAAAGTCCACTCTTAAAAAGCACAAATGCCTACAGCAAGGAATGAGCAAGGGATAAGCAATAAAAAGCAATTATTCCCATGCACACACAACAGGAAAGAAGCAGCACAATGGTCTCAAATAGCAGATTAAAAAAAATAGCTCTTGGGCATAGACAAAAAAATATGGAGTATTTTGACCATGAATAGTATGAGCGTTAGGATGGGTGCAGAATTCCTTCAGGATACCGACGTTTTTGGCTCATCAACATTAATAAATAGCTTTGCTTTAAATGAGAACTGGAGCATACCCAGCTGTGCAAAAACAAAGGAATCCCACATTGCTGCTGCTTTCCAGGTCTGCTTTTAAGGATGCAGGGAACATTCTAGAGGCTGCCACTGCTTAAATYTCTATACTCTTATTGTCAATATGGAATTAAAAAATATATATTTATGTAGGTGTGTGAATACATACATATATATGCGTGCATGTGAACGAAATTTTTTTTTTTTCCCCCTGAAATGAAGTGCACTTTAAGAAAGCTGACATTTATTAGTTAAACAGGAATTTCAACTGACCGTGGGCAYACAATATTCAACAGCAACAACTAAAATGAAAAATTCCACTCAAAAACAAAGCAGAAGCTCCTGGCTGTAGGTATGAGCTACACAAGACTTGTGTGACCAACCAAAGGGTTTCTCGGGTGGATTTTCTCCCCTGGAGTTTTACTGAATAACATATTTCCAGAACAAGAATTCCAAAAGGTTAAGATTTAACTTTACAGTGTTTTGAAACTTGYATTTGCTGTATACCCCTCAGCAATTTTAYGCGTACAAGCCCAGCAGTCACTCGCCACGAAGCACTGCTACGTGACACCAAGCTGGGCCGGCGGGGCGACGCGTTTGCCCGTCTTACCTGCCTCTCGCTGACACGAAGCGGACCGAACACCACGTACTGGATCAGCTTGGCCACCAGCATCAGGAAGCAGCAGGCAGTGTTCACAAGCACCTGCCGAGAGAGGAGCAACGTCACGAGGCCGCAGCCTGAACCCGCTGGAAGGCGGAAAAAAACGTTTCCAGGCGCATCCCAAAGTGCCTGYGCTTGGCGCAACTATCCCCGGCATGGCGAGCGTTCCCGGGGCTCCGACCGTGCTCCGAGAGCGGAGCTGCGGGTTCCAAGGGCTCCATTTCGGAGACTCATCCGGGGGCTGGGGCCCTGGGGGGGCAACAGGCGGCTGCTGACTGCCAACGGGAGCCYGCGCGGCGCCGCTTCCCGGTGCGCCGGGAGCCCAGCACGGGTGAACTGGGCGAACTGGACACGGGTGGACTGGGGCKGGCGCCGCCGCCGGCCCGGACGCTGCCTCCTCTTCCTGAGCCGCTCTTCCCCGCTCTCTGGTTCCCCGGTGCAGCTCGCAGGGGAAGGGCCCCGCTCCCCCGCGCCGCCGCCCTTCCCCGGCCCGTTTCAGCGGCGCGCGGCCCGGGGAAGCTCCGCAGGCCCCGGGCAGGCCGGGGCCGCCGCCACGAGGCGGCGGGAAGGGAAGCGAAGGGAGGAGGGGAAGGGGAAGCGCGGCCGCGCCGCGGGCCTCACCCAGACGCAGAGGCTGTCGGAGAGCAGGTAGTAGGCGACGTCGAGGGCCAGGCCCGCGGCGCTGCGCGGCGGCGGC